TGCGCATTGCTACTTCAAGGTGGTTTGGTATTTGTGTCTGCGCACATTCTCTGGGGGGGGCGTGATAATTCAGACGACGTCATGGGCGGTGTGTGTCATGCTGTTCGACGCTTCCGTCGCAAATTTAGTTTTCTCCATATTGCTGCCGGGTTTGATGCCAATGCGACTCTGCCCGGGGGCGTCGAGAGCTTGACGGGCAGCTCCGTTCTTTGACCGCTTCAGTCGCATAGTTGGGGATCGAGGTACAAAGTGTTGGAATGGATGCGTGCTCTCGGAGTTCGCGCCCTGAACACCTTCGGCCTTGGCCCTGGGAGCTGGACTTGTGGTAGGTTCCGGGCGCAAGGCCGGAGGTCGATGATCGATTACGTCGGCGTGTCCAGTGGTCTCGAAGGTGTTGTCGATGTGTTGTCGGAGGATCTTGAGGGCATGGGTCGGGCAGATCATCGCCCCCTGTGGGGTGAGTTCCGTCTACGTTCTGATCCTCAGGCGAACGTTCATGCGCGACCTCAGCGCCGCTTCAATCTTCACGGTTGGGCACCGAGGACTTCGGAGGCGGATGATAAGTTCAGGGGGTCATCTTTGCAGCTTCTGGACCTTCCGTTGCAAGATCTTGAACGATCAGTGCTCCGGCTTGCAACCTCCATCGACTTCGCATCCTCGGTGGTGCAACGGCTTGAAGGCCAGCGTCTTGGGCGGGAACTTCGCGACAGTGGTCAGCATCATGAACGTTGTGACCATCTTCGCGAGGCGAAGGCTGCGAAGCGGAAGCAGCGCAAGAGGATCCTGAACAAACGGCTGCAGATTTTGGCTCGGCGCGTCTTCCAGCGCGTACAGATTACCCGCATGCGTATTGATGAGAATCTGTCTTTCGATCGCGAGTTGTGGTCGCAACGTTGCCATTTCTGTGGCCAGGCCCGTTCTGGTTGTGAAGCGATCGATCCTTCGACACAGGAGGAACGATTTCAACGCTTCGCCGCGCTCGCCCGCAATGACATGCTCGACGGCAAAGTTTACAAGCCTACGCTATGGGACGTCTTGCAGGCTAGAGCTCAGCTCGGCGGCGGCGCTGCTGGTCCTGATCTCGTTCCTCCGGAGGTTTGGCGTCGTTTGCCTTTCAGGTTGTTCTCCACGTTCATGCTTTGTTTTGCGATTGCGCCCTGCTCCGACCATGGGCCGTGGCCCCGGAATCCTGGAAACAGATTTTGTTCAACGGCATTCCGAAGGAGAAGAAGTTGGTTGAACTCTTCGACCAATTACGCTGGATTGGATTGACGTCTACATTGCAAGAGTGGTCTCTGCGTTCAGTTCGCCCGGAGCTTCGACGACAGGCGCTTCCATCGCGCGTCCACGCATGCGGTTTCAAACCGCATCGATGCTTATCAGTCGTGGTGTCGGTGATTCGGGAGCGCATCCACTTGGCAACTGTTTTGGGCCTCCCTCTGTGCATCGCCGCCCAGGATGTTCTCACAGCGCTTGACACTCTCGACCGCGCTTTTATGTTCCGCGCGTTCGAGCAGCGAGGAGTCAGCAGCCAGCTGTTGGCCGTGTTCTCCAGGGAGCTCTCCGATTTGAGCGGTTCCATGGCAATCCAGGGGGCCTGCGCAAAGGAGTCTTTCGAGTTTAACCGCGGAGGTCGGCAAGGGGGCGTGGAGATGCCAGATTCGTTCGATGTGTATTTGGAGGTCGCCCTGGAGGACGTCGTTGCGGCCTGGCGCCAGAAAGGTTGGGGCTTTGCCATTGACGGCGCATTGGTCAGCCATGCGATCTGGGCGGACAACATCTTCATCCTTGCAGGCAGCCTGGCCCGACTCCGCGTGGTAACGCAGGAGCTCGCGGATGCTGTGGCCGCCGCCCTCCTTCGTTGGAAGCCGTCCTCGTTGGGAGTGATGGCCTGCGGGGGCACGGCGCTTCCAGTGACTGACCTTCGTGTTTTCAACAGCGGGCAGCTACGCGGGGTTATGTCAGTGTGGACCGCATGATGGTCCTGGGGGTCGCGCTCGATTCACGTAGAAGCAGTGGCGAGAGCTTCGAGCACCGGCGCCAGAAAGCAGACGGCAAGTTCTTTTCCAATATTGGCATTCTCCTGTCTCGCGGCGGCTTGCAACAACGTCTCCGGGCGTGGGTCGAGTCTCCTGGGGCGTCGGCAATGATGGGGGCCGATGCGCTTCGCATGTCCAGCGGCCTCCCCCATGCAGCCCGCGCTTGGGAGCTGGAGCGCCTGCGGAACATGTTGCGATTGAAGCGCAGGCCGGAAGAGGGGTTGATGGAGTTCAATGCCCGGACAGCTGCCAAGATCAGCTCGTGGTTCGGATTCTTCCATTTTCAAGTCATCCATGTGCGTATTCTGAAGGCAGTGTTCAAGGCGGCATGGCGAGAGTCGCGGCTCCGAGTTGGGAACAGCGCGCCCCCTCTACAGGACCTCCGTTCTGCACGTTCGGCGCTCTGGTGGGCCCCTATCATATCAAAGATGAGCCTGCTGCTAAACGGCGCCGCGAGGGACTCGTGCAAGCATCTCAAGGCCACGTCGCTGCTTGGGAAGATTGTTTCATGGCAGTATACGGGGAGGATTGGCGCTCCTTTCGTGACTCCCACAGCTGTTTGGCCGGGTGGATGGTCAACCTCGACGCTTTTGCTCGGTGCCTGTGTGAGCGCTGGCATTTGCCGCCCCCGCTGGAAACCATGTCGGCAGTGAGATGGGCGCCTCAGAGCGTGGATGTTGAGTTCGATATCGCAGACACGCCGCCAGTCGTCTTGCCGGAGTGGTGCCGCTTCGGCGAGGCGGGCAAGCGCGTCGTCTTCCTCGTGGACTGCCAGTCGGTGGCCCGGCTGGTGAACGGCGAGATGGAGCTCGCGGATGACACCTGCACGCTGGTTTTCAATCGCATCAGTAATATTCAACATTCCTTGTGCCGTCTCGGTTGGCGCCCTCGGCGGGATCACGAATCCTTTGTGGAGTGGGTCCCGAGGGGGTGGGGCAAAGCAGCGGACCATCTTGCGAACGTGGCGCTGCGCGACCGGGACGCCATGCTTTGGCACGGGGAAGACGAGGACGCGTTGATGCAACATGTCGTGGTCACCAGCGACGGAGGTTACCACAACGGTCACGGATCTGCTGCTTGGACCGTGCACGCGGTGACCGGGCAAACGCTCGACCTAGCAGGCTTGGAGTATGTGTACATAGACGTTGCACATTCTCCATTTCAGTGCGAAGTGATCGCGCTGTCCACCGCCATGTCACGAGTTTTAAATCGACTACGCCTCCTCTCTTCTCGCTGAGCCGGCGCAGGCCGGTTTTCAATTTAAGTAGTTCCAGTCATTGAGCAACCTAATTAATCCACAGCCATTTGTTTGATGCTCATCGGGCTTGTCATGGCATTCACCCGGGCGAAAGAAGAAAGTCGTAGTAGTAGTAGTAGTAGTAGTAGTCGTAGCAGTAGTAGTAGTAGTAGTAGTAGTAGTAGTAGTAGTAGTAGGACTTGTAGTAGTAGTAGTAGTAGTAGTAGTAGTAGTAGTAGTAGTAGTAGGCTTTGTAGTACTAGTAGTAGTAGTAGTAGTAGTAGTAGTAGTAGTAGTAGTAGTAGTAGTAGTCGTAGTAGTAGTAGTAGTAGTAGTAGTAGTAGTAGTAGTAGTAGTAGTAGTAGTAGTCGTAGTAGTAGTAGTCGTAGTAGTAGTAGTATAGTAGTAGTAGTAGTAGTAGTGATAGTAGTGATACTAGTGCTAGTAGTAGTGGTAGTGGTAGACGAAGAAAAAGAAGTAGTAGTAGAAGTAGTAGTCGTCGCCGTAGTCGTAGTCGTAGTAATAATAGTAGTAGCAGTAGCAGTAGTAGCAGTAGTAGCAGTAGTAGTAGTAGTAGTAGTAGTAGTAGTAGTAGTAGTAGTAGTAGTAGTAGTATTAGTAGTAGTATAGTAGTAGTAGTAGTAGTAGTAGTAGTAGTGTAGTAGTAGTAGTAGTAGTAGTAGTAGTAGTAGTAGTAGTAGTAGTAGTAGTAGTAGTAGTAGTAGTAGTAGTAGTAGTAGTAGTAGTAGTAGTAGTAGTAGTAGTAGTAGTAGTAGTAGTAGTAGTAGTAGTAGTAGTAGTAGTCGTAGTAGTAGTAGTAGTAGTAGTAGTAGTAGTAGTAGTAGTAGTAGTAGTAGTAGTAGTAGTAGTAGTAGTAGTAGTAGTAGTAGTAGTAGTAGTAGTAGTAGTAGTAGTAGTAGTAGTAGTAGTCGTAGTCGTAGTCGTAGTCGTAGTCGTAGTAGTAGTAGTAGTAGCAGTAGTAGTAGTAGTAGTAGTAGTAGTAGTAGTAGTAGTAGTAGTAGTAGTAGTAGTAGTAGTAGTAGTAGTAGTAGTAGTAGTAGTAGTAGTAGTAGTAGGTAGTAGTAGTAGTAGTAGTAGTAGTAGTAGTCGTAGTCGTAGGAGTAGTAGTAGTAGTAGTAGTAGTAGTAGTAGTAGTAGTAGTAGTAGTAGTAGTAGTAGTAGTAGTAGTAGTAGTAGTAGTAGTAGTAGTAGTAGTAGTAGTAGTAGTAGTAGTAGTATTAGCAGCAGCAGCAGCAACAGCAGCAGCAGCAGCATAGCAGTAGTAGTAGTAGTAGTAGTAGTAGTAGTAGTAGTAGTAGTAGTAGTAGTAGTAGTAGTAGTAGTAGTAGTAGTAGTAGTAGTCGTAGTAGTAGTAGTAGTAGTAGTAGTCGTAGTAGTAGTAGTTAGTAGTAGTAGTAGTAGTAGTCGTAGTCGTAGTCGTAGTCGTAGTCGTAGTAGTAGTAGTCGTAGTAGTAGTAGTAGTAGTAAGTAGTAGTAGTAGTAGTAGTAGTAGTAGTAGTAGCAGTAGCAGTAGCAGTAGCAGTAGCAGTAGCAGTAGCAGTAGCAGTAGCAGTAGCAGTAGCAGTAGCAGTAGCAGTAGCAGTAGCAGTAGCAGTAGCAGTAACAGTAGTAGTAGTAGTAGTAGTAGTAGTAGTAGTAATAATTATATTAGTAGTCGTAGTCGTAGCAGTGGTGGCGGTGGTGCTGGCAACAACCCCTTGCAGGTGCTCCTGTGCCAGGACGGTGGCGGCAAGAAGTGCCACGCGCACTCGCAGGTCCTTGACCTGCACTGCGCAAGCGTCGCCGCGCGCGTGAAGGAGCCCGGGCTGCCTTTGCCAGGGGGCGTCGGGGCTCATGTAACGGGGGGGTCAGCGGTCACGGGGGTCAGCCAACGCGTTCTGCTGGCTGACCCAGGTTTGTGGGCCACGCGGGGCCGATCCCCCCTTTCCGCCCTCCGCATTCCCGGGCTTCGGAACTACCAGGCGGCGGGCCAGGCTTCGTGATTGGGCCCTGGCCGACCTGGGCGGGTGCTGACCCAGGTTACATAGTGCGTCCCCGATGGTGGGGGGCTAGGGGAAGTGGGGAGCACTCAGGAGGGGGAGGGGGAGGAGGAAGAGGGAGAGGGGAACAGGGAGGAGGACCTGGGTTCGAGGATGTCATTACGTTATTGATGTGCTTGTGCATTTTTGGGCCTCCAGGCGCGTTCTCGTCGCCACGGCTGGATCCACTCAGACATTCTGGTCAAGACATACCCTTGGCGAGATCTGAGGGTCGTCTTCTAACAGCCATAATCCACATCGACTATTTTTCCCAACCCTCCTGCGTTGGGATCTCGTTTTGAATAGAGCACTGCTCGCGCGAACCTTCCTTCCCGTCCCTCTCTTCCCCCCTGCCTTTGACCTCGCCATCCCTGGGGGGCTGCGATCTGTGAAACTGTCGCCACTTTCGAGGCCTGCTGGGGGGCCCAGCACAGTGGGTACACACGGCGGACTCAAATGGGACCTCGCCATCCCTGGGGGGCTGCGATCTGTGAAACTGTCGCCACTTTCGAGGCCTGCTGGGGGGCCCAGCACAGTGGGTACACACCGCAGACTCAAATTCGACCTCGCCATCCCTGGGGGGCTGCGATCTGTGAAACTGTCGCCACTTTCGAGGGTTGCTGAGGGGCACAGCACAGTGGGTACCCACCGCAGACTCAAATTAGACGCCGCTTTCGTCCTTGTTCTCCTCCTGCAGTCACCTTCCCTCTGCTGCTGCCGTGCTGATGGTTCGGCTTCCCGCACGTTTTTCTCCTGCTCTGCGTTCCCGACTCCCCATGTCCTCTTCGAGCCTGTAGCTGTCGCCCCTCGTTCTTGTATGGTTCTCCTGCGCATCATGCCATAGGCGCGTGTCCCAAGTAGCTTACACATCAAGTTGATTGTCCATGCAAGGTTCGGCCAACTCCTCGTTTGCATTGATACAAATGGGTTGGGTACGTCACAGGGTAATTTCCAATCGTTGGCCCCCGGAGCTCTCGACTTCTTCGCCGGGGACCGTTTTCGTTCTGGTGCCGAGCTGTTTTTGGATTGCATTGGGGCCCGGAAGCGGCTTCCAGATCTCGAGCACTACGGAGAAGAAGCCAGGGGTGAGCTTCCGAGTCGTCAGAGGCCTGGGTCTGGCGGGGGGGTGGGGAGGGGGGCGGTGTGTGTGTGTGTGTGTGTGTGGCTGTAGCAGCTGGCGAGGAGCGCCTGGCTCGTCCCCTTCTGGCGTGCAGGAGGGGTGCGGCGCTATGGGGTGCACTGGCACACGGGAGGGGTGATCGGCAGGCAGGGCAGGGAGGAAGGGGGGAGGGAGGCAGGATGGGGGAGGGAGGAGGAGGGGGAGGGCAGTGGGAGAGAGGAGGAGGGCAAGGAGGAGGAGGAGGAAGAGGAGGAGGAGGAGGAAAACATTGGGATAGGTATACAGACCAGCAGCCTTGCTGAGACATTTGTTGTGAGTTGACCATCAGTTTGAATATCTTCGAGCACGTCGAACTTGTATCTAGTGGCATTCGGTACATCCAGCCACCGTGGCTGGGTTGTGGACCAGAGGGCTCTTAAAAGCCTCTTGGGATCGCTCGGAAGGCCTCTTGTGGCTTCTTGGAGGTCTCCTTGGGGCTTCTGAGGGGCCTCTTGGAGGCCTCTTGGGAGCCTCCTGAGGACCTCTTGGGGCTGTGGGTCTTTTGGGCGCTTCTTGGCAGGACCATATTGAGTGGAGGGCCCCAAAGGCCCCTTCGAGTTCCTTCTGGAGCTCCTGTTTGGGCCTTCTTGGACGCATCTTGGGCCGTCTTGGTTGCTTGGGGCACCGCCCTGGGGCGATCTTGGGGATCTTTTGGGCCGTCCTGGACCCTCCTACGATCGAAAATGCGATTATGCGGAAATCGTGTAAACATCTCGGAAGTCTTCTGGATTTTGGCTTCTTGGGCGGTGCGAGGGGGTTAGAATCGAGCGGGAGCTGGAGATCGTGTGCAGGTTGACCGTGAGGCACGTGAGATGGGCGGGTGGGGGAGTGACACGATGGCCAGCGGTGGGGAACAGGAGGCTTGGCTGCACTTGTCGACCAGGCTCCTGGCCGTCGGCTGCCGACACAGCCACTGGCAAAGGTAAGAAACCCGGGAGTCAAGCAAGGCAGCCAAGGGAGTCAATCAAAAAATCCGACATATCAGAAACCGCCGCCCTTCCTGCAGTTGCCCCTCCCGAAAGCCCCCCCCTCCCCCGAATTTCCTCAGCCATGCGCCAGCAGAGGGGGCGTCAGCTTGCCCGGGGACTCGAAGGAATCGCGCCAGACGTCCTCGCCAGCCTCGGCGTCTGGAGGCCGCCTGCAGGCTGTTGGGCTGTCCGCACAGGTATGCCCTATCGGCAGCGCCAGCGGACGCGGGGCGGGTGTGTCGCCAATGGCAGGGCGTGCTGGGAACGGGCGCCAGAGCGGGCGGAAACGGGGAGAGAGAGAGAGAGAGAGAAATCGCAGGCCTGGAGGTTGACACCAACACCAATATCGGCGGTGTGCCTCCACCGAGGGAAGATTATGCTAGATCTCGGTGATGGTGGCAATACTCTGGCTTCTAAGGTGGCCGAAATATTACCACCAACACCGAGCTCTAGGATTATCTTCCCCCTGTGTCGGTGTTGGTGCCGATTTCCAGGTCTCCAAAGAGAGAGAGAGAGAGAGAGAGAGAGAGAGGGAGCCGAGGAGGCGGGAAGGGCCCAGCTGCCGAGAGCCGGCAAGCGAGCGGCGCGCAGGCGGCCTCGGGCTCCGGGGCGGCCCGCAGGAGCGCACGGGGCGGGGGGGGCGGGGAGCTCACTCCCACGGCCAAGGGGGGAGGGGGGCTCCGGGGGGCGGGCGGCTCCAGGGAGGCCGAGGCGTCGGAGGTCCAGGGGCGGAGGGAGCGCGCGTGCACGTCCACGGCCTCGCGGGCCTCGGGCCCCCTGGGCCGAGGCTCCCCGTGGGCAGGGGCGTCTCTGCTCGCGGGTGCCCCGCGCGGGGCGGATCTGCGCGGCCGCGCGTCCACGGGAGCGCTTGGCCTCCTCCTGGCCTTGACGTGAGGCCTCTCCTTTTGTCCCCCCCCCCTCTTTGTCAACTCAAGCTTCGCGCGGCCCGCCCAGCTTCGACCGGAAGAGGTGCGCTCCTCGACCCGCGGATCAAACAAGTGTCCACGGGAGCGCGCCCAGGCGTCCAGACCGCGAGGGCGCGGCCGCGGACGCGCTCGCCGCTCGTGGCGGCTCGAGGGCGCCGGGGCCGTCGGAGGTCCGGGGGGCCACCTCGAGAGAGCAGGCGCAGACCGCCCGGGGGCTCGGGCGCCCGAGAGCTCGGGCGGCCAGGTCTATACAGGTCCACCGCCGCTGGGCATGTACAAGTCTCGTCGCCCTGCCGAGGGTGCTCCCCCAGGCCCGATCGGGCGCACCTCGTGACGAGAGCCGGGCGGGGCCCGGGGGCAGGCGGCCCGCCAGAGCCCGCACGAGGGCAACGCGGTGATGCTGCGCCACTCCACGGGCGAGTGCGTCACCCTCGCCTGCCTGCGGGACCGTCGCCGCCGCCGTCGTCGTTGTCGTCGTTGTCGGCGCCGCCGTCGTCGACGTCGACGTCGTCGTGGTTGTGGTCGATGCCGTGGTCGCCGCCGTCGTCGCCTCGTGGTCGTGGTCGTGGAGAAGCTCAGCCTTCCAGGTGTCTCTCCGTCGTCAACGTCGACGCCGTCGTTGATGCCGTTTTCAGCGTCGTCGTCGTCGTCGTCGTCGTCGTCGTGGTTGTGGTCGTCATCGTCGTCGTGGTCGTCGCCGTCGTCGTCCTCGTGGTCATGGTAGTGGAGGCGCTGTGCCTTCCAGGTGTCTGCTCTGCCCGTCGCGTCTCACTGCTCTGAGCGCTCACGCCTCGGTGGCTCCAGGGACGGAGAGCTTTACACTTCTCCAGGCTCCGCCGAGAGAGGGTGTTGGGGGGGGAGGGCTCCCTCTTGCAGCGCCGTCTGGGGAAGGGCGAGCCCCAGGCCGTGGTAGAGCGTCCCACTGGCAAGCCGAGGCTGGTGCGACAGTTGTTATCTGCGCTCGAAGCTTTTATCCTACGTTTTCCTTGGCCATGCTGCACCTCCCTTCTCCTCCTCCTCCTCCTCCTCCTCCTCCTCCTCTTTCTCCTGGTTAGCTGTTACACCGTGGAGTCCCTTTCCCATCAGTTGGGAAGGCGACGCTTTTCAGTATGACTTTGCGGTAGGAGCAGAGCCTTCCTGGTGTGAGAAGGACTTGCGGAGATCCCTCGTCCTCCTCCCCTGACCTCCTGCAGGCCCTGCTGGCCGCGATGTACTGTGGAGTTCTGCCGCCCGTGGACCTTTTCGACCAGGCTTGGTGGGAGGGGAACCCCGGCAGGGTTGTCCCACAGAGAGTCGTAAGGTTAACGGTCATAATATTTTGGTCCAGTTTCGTCTTCGTGCTTCAGCCGCAAAACTAACCATTATCATTATTATTATTAGTATGTTATATCATGTTGTATCATGATATCTGGTATGTTATACTACAATTTATTATATCAATGTATTTTGCATTATGTTATATTACCCCAGTGCGACCCCAATTACCTAGAAGTTGGAGCCCCTAGGAAAACAGCATTAGTTGCTATGCTATGCTATGCTATACTATGCCATGCTATGCTGCGCTATGCCATGCTATGCTATGCTATGCTGCGCTATGCTATGCTATGCTATGCTATGTTAAGCTATGCTATGTCATGCTGCGCTGGGCTATGCTAAGCTATGCTATGCTATGCTGCGCTATGCTAAGCTGCTAAGCTGCGCTATGCTATGCTATGCTACGCTATGCTATGCTATGCTGTGCTCTGCTATGCTAAAGCTCAGCGAAGCTAAGATGAAGGTAAGCTAAGCTAAGATAAACCTGAGCTAAGATGAAGCGAAGCTAAGCTAAGATGAAATGAGCTAAGCTAAGATGAGACAAGCGACGCTAAGCTAAGGGGACGTAACTGGGGGAACCGCGGGGCGGATACTGGGGGAACCGCCCGGGGCGCTTTCCACTGCCCGGCCCCTTTAAGCCCAGAGAGTAAGAACCCTTCTAGGCAGAGCCTAGGTAGGTATTATATTACATTATATGGTATTATGCTATAACATATGTACACGGTGCTATAATATATTTACATACTATAGTATATAATACCATATCATATTGTATCATACCATGTTATATTGTACTATGTAATTTCATTGTATTTTCGATTGTACTGTACTATATCATATTATATAATATGTTATCAGGCTTCATTTTATTGTATTACAGTGTAATTTATCATATTCTGTCATTTTTATATCGTATAATACATCATAATATATTATAGTTGATCATATTATTCAATATTATATGTTGTATCGTATTGTATTGTTTTGTATTGTATTATATCATACTCTGTTGTATTAATATCAGTTTTTATGTATTTTATTAAAGTATATCCTATTCCATGATATTATGTTGTATTCGAGTATATTGTATTTTAGTATTATATTATATGGTACCATATTATATTTTAAGATATTAGATCATATCATATCTCATACTATTCTATTATATTAAAATACATCATATCACATTATACTATTTCGTATCATAGTATATTCTCTTATATTATACTATGTCACATTATACAATGTCAAGTAATATAGTACAACATAATTCAGTACCATATCATCTTAAGTTGCATAAAAGTATATTGTATTATACCTTGCTGGATTGTATTCTGGTGTAGTATATTATTCTACATTATATCATATTAAATTGTATTGTCTCGTATTCTATTGCATTGTATTGATGTAGAATTCAAGTTTCACTGTTATGATATATCACATTATATGATTATATACACTATACATGTTATATTACAATAATACATAGTATATTTTATATTATTATATTTTGTGGTATTGTAAGTATGCAACATATGGTATTATTTGATGTCGCATGATACGGTGTTATACCATATTGTGCCATCTCATATTGTATGATCGCAGTATCTACATGTATCGCATATGGTTCTTAGTGTTATCATCGTGATTATGATGATTGTTCTTCTTCCTCTTATTGCCATTGTCATTCTTAATACTACTATCAGTACACTATTATCATTGAATTTTATTGGTTTGATTGGGCAACAATAGGGCGGGAGAGACAGCATGGGCCTCCCTCCCATTTTGGGGCCTCTGGGGGTCGTTGGGGCTGTGTTGGGCCAGTCCTGGGGCAGCTTGCAGTCATTCTGGGGTGGTCTGTGGGCTGTCTTGCGGCCCGTGAGGGGGGTCAGAGGGCAACACGTTGGGGCGCGAACTCTGGCGGAGTGGCGTTCGTCGGCGGGGGGCCGGCCCAGGAACTCTTGAAACATTAGCAGATAGTTTTAAGTCGGACGTGTCCCTCTACAAGAGGAGTATACAAGAATAGTAAAAAGAAATTTGGGACGATTTCTTGAGCACTTTTGAGAATTTTGGAGTTTGTTTTTCGTTTTTTTTGTTTTTCCTCCAAAATCCTCCTGCATGGGGGATAGGCCCGACCTAACATTAGCAGATAGCTGGGTCGTTCGCTAAGAGGTGTTCGGGCACGCTCTCGCGTGCGAGGCCGCCGCGGCGGGTATCGAGAGGGCTTTGTGCCCTCTGCTGCTGGCCCCCCCTCCCCTTAAATCGGGCGTGTCCCTCTACAGGGGGAATATTCAAAGATAGTCAAAAAATAGTCTGGGGATTTGTTCCCTACCTAGGCTCTGCCTAGAAGGGTTCTTACTCTCTGGGCTTAAAGTGGCTGGGCAGTGAAAAGCGCCCCGGGCGGTTCCCCCAGTATCCGCCCCGCGGTTCCCCCAGTCCCCTGGGAGCTTTAGCTTTAGCTTTAGCTTTAGCTTTAGCCTTAGCCTTAGCTTTAGCTTAGCTTTAGCTTAGCTTTAGCTTAGCTTTAGCTTAGCTTTAGCTTAGCTTTAGCTTAGCTTTAGCTTAGCTTAGCTTTAGCTTAGCTTTAGCTTAGCTTTAGCTTAGCTTTAGCTTAGCTTTAGCTTAGCTTTAGCTTAGCTTTAGCTTAGCTTAAGCTTAGCTTAAGCTTAGCTTTAGCTTAGCTTTAGCTTAGCTTTAGCTTAGCTTTAGCTTAGCTTTAGCTTAACTTTAGCTTAGCTTAGCTTAGCTTTAGCTTAGCTTTAGCTTAGCTTTACTGTTACTACTAATGCTGCTTTCCTAGGGGCTCCAACTCTTAGGTAGGGTCGTACTGGGATCATTTTCTTCAAAATCAGCCTGTAGGGGGACATGCCCGACCTAACCTTCCCCCCCTCCCAACTGACGGATTGGCAAATTGAGGGCTGTCGGGCGGGACGCGTCAGTGCGCCTCGTGTGGGGCACCTGGGGCCTCTAGGTGTCGTCTTGCGTAGATGTTGGGCAGCGTTGCCCATCTGAGGGCCACCTTGGAGTCTCTGGAGATATCTGCGGGCCTCTTGGGTGGCTTCTTGGGAGCATGTTGGTTCTTGGCCAGATGTCTCAGGCCAGGCCAGTGGGGACACCCGCACTTGTCCTCTTCTCACCTTTTTGTGCGTGGCCCTCACGGCGCACGCGTCTCTGTGGAGTGTCCTGCGGCCAAGTGCGCTGTGCAGGCGCCATTCCACAGGGGGTGGGTTTATGCTGACTGGCTGTCTTGCTCGTTCATCCTTCTCACATATTATCAGCCGTTCTTGCTTATCCCTCTGGGCCATGTGACCATCGTTACGGTTTTGCTCATTGTGAGTTGTGCTTGTGCTGCGCCGCGCGAAGGACGGCGCAATTGTTTCAGGTGATATTTGCCCACTTTGAGTTGTGCGCCGCCAATCGAATGACAACCGTTATCAGTGTATTGTCCGCCAGCAATTCTATCGAAATTGATGCCGCTTACATCCTCGTGAACAAATGCAACAAAAGTGGCGCCGGGATGGAAGCCGAAACGATTTTGAATCAGACCAGGCGTGGCCCGTCGCATGAACTGACATCCGCCTGTCGACGTTGCGGAAGAATGTTTCGTCTGCATTGCGCGGTGCACGTTGGCCATCCGGCTGGGAACGAAGTCGCGCGGCAGAACGTGGAACCGCCCGCGCCTGCGGCCCTGTGGAGGATCAACTTCGAGGAGCGCCCGGGCATTCAGTGGCGTCCGTCTCCCAATGTCGCCACCGGGCGCGCAGGCCCAAACGTGGCAGATCAATGACTTGGCCCGCGGTGCACGCCTGCGCGCGCTGCCAACATTGAAAGGCGAGTGCCATTTCATGATCCTCCTTGGGCGTTGCCGTCTGCAGATCATTCACGACGGTCGTCTCGTTGATTTTGTTATTGTCGTGGCTCTCCTGGGAAGGGGGCCCCGCCGAACCCCCCAGTGTGGCCGCCCGCGTGCGTCCCCCGCGCCCAATTTGGCATTTTCGCTCACCCGTTACAACGCTTCGCGGCCCCATGGGGACCTCCACCGAAGCCCCCACTGGGACCGCCCGCGTGCGTCCCGCACGCTTAATTTGGTATTCTCTCCCACCCAGTGCAGCGTTTCTTGGTCTCATACGGAGCTTCGCCGACGGCCCCAGTGCTACCGCCCGCGTGCGTTCCCCCCCGCCCAGCGCAGGACTTCGTGGCCCCATAGGGAATTTCACCGAAGAAGATATTCACAATTGCGGTACCCACAACTTCATTTGGTTGGGTCCTTCGCCCGGATAATTTTCCCAGCCATCCTGTGGTGTTGGGTCCTCGTTTTGAAGAAACGTCGCCCCGCGTTCCTCTCCTCTCCTCTCCTCCTCCTCCTCCTCCTCTTCCCCCTTCCTCTCTCCTCCCGTCGTCGTCATCATCATCAGCGTCATCATCAGCGTCATCATCATCATCATCATCAGCATCATCATCGCCATCATCATCATCATCATCATCATCATCACGACCGTCATCATCACCAACATCATCACCCATGTCGGCACACCCCTCACACGCTTCGTGGCCCCATAGGGAGTTCCACCGAAGGCCCAGTGCCACCGCCCGCATGCGTCCCCCACGCCCATTTCGTCACATCCCTCACACATTTCGTGGCCCCATAGGGAGCTCCACCGAATGCCCCTGTGCCACCGCCCGCATGCGCCCCCCGCGCGCATGTCGGCATACCCTCACACGTTTCGTGGCCCCATAGGGAGTTCCACGGGAGGCCTCAGTGCCACCGCCCGCATGCGTCCCCCGCACCCAGTTCGGCACACCCCTCACACGTTCCGTGGCCTCATAAAGAGTCCACCGAAGGCCCCAGTGCCACCGCCCGCATGCGTCCCACACCCATGTCGGCACACCCGTCACACGTTTCGTGGCCCCATAGGGAGCTCCACCGAAGGCCCCT